CTATAGTAATGTATAATATGTATTGATCTATAGTGATCAAATGCATATGCATGATCGACGTTTTTTAAGCGTTATTTCTGCATTATCGCCATTACATCTTTCTAGTGGTACACCAGCGTTCATCGTTGGCATATAATTATTACTGCGATACCATCAATGACTACGAGAGAATATCTCAGAATTCTTGCGTTTTCCCCGTCACTGAACTGAAATGAAATGCAAAGCATTTTATCGTGAATTTCATTGATACAGATGATTACCACTAAATATTTTTATAATTTTAATGATTGTGATTCAAGAAATCATCCTCAGATGAACTCACCACCATGATCGCCTTGTTAACCTAGAAAGCATAGATACCCTAAATTCAGCAGCAATCATTCCAGTGTGTCTTACTGAGAAAACCCAATTGTCGGATGGTGATCACTACCCATCGTTTGTGTTCAATAATAAACATCACGCTCTATATTTCGCTATTCCGAATTTCATGATAGCTGTACCAGTACCATTGAAAACAGTAAATAGTGTTGAGGATAGTGATTACCGACTTTTTGATATGGCTTCTCCTGATGATGAATGCTAGCGTGAATATCCAACCGTTTCATTTCATAATTTCAGTGTTGCCTTTTTTATTTCTCGTAAAATCTTTCTCGCATATGAGGAAGTTTCCAATCTTTTTAAATCCGATCAGCTCGAAGGTGTTCGATAGATATCGCATTCTCTCGATGTGAAACTTCAGTTGGTGTAAATTTTGCAAGAATTCGGTGAACGGGATTTAAGAATCCGATTGAGTTAACATTAAGAGGAACCCAAAACGAATAACCGAAGAAAAAATAACAACCGAAGAATAGTTCCGTTTTCTTGATGTTCCTGAGATCGAGTACATTTCTCAAACAGTCTTTTGAGAATGACCACAAAATTCGATACCAATGAACTGTTCTGATAGGTTGTGTCATTTCGTTATCATAGTGAATCCTTGCACTTCGAACTGTGAATGCAGATAGTTCTACGCATTACTCATGATGCAGAACATTCTTCTTATCATGAGCATAGCCGTAAGATGAACAGCTATTCGAAAAACAACTCTGTTTTCATATATCGGCTAAGATAAATCATTGATCAAAGATCGCAACGGAACATTCCATTGCGTCTCATACCGTATCTGCATTATCCATTGTGAATATTGGATATTGATAAACAGTTCCAGAATTTCGACTGTTGCAAAATAACACAGAAGTTGATTGTGTTAATCTGAAAGTCTGCAATTTCCAGAGTGCTCATCGCCAAAATGGCAGCGAGAAATGGAGCTATGAATAATGGTGAAGAAGCGCCGGACGTAGCGCTGCCGTGCAACCTGCGGGGGTGATTTTATGATAAAGTCCTCGTGGTGGTGGCCATGCTCTACGTACCGCCGGCCCCAAAGCAGGTCGCAGATTATATAATAAAAAATTGGGACGAACTGAAACAGTTCTATCCTTCTCATTTGAGGAAAGACTATTTCGGTAAGCACTTCATTCTACACATTATTATTAATCAGGTTCACTGCTTTTGCAGCTAAGCTAATGTGACTAGAAATAGTCGAGGACGTCATAATATGCGAGGAAAAAGAAATCATGACGCTGAATTAAGAATAATAACAAATGCAGACAATAATTCAGTAAGGAC